GGGAATTGAATTTTGCACAGACTGATTTGGAGTCCTGGGATTCAGTGAAGGAGTGTACAGAAAAGATTTTAATAAACAAACAAACAAACCACATTGATTCAACTGTAGAACTGAAGTGAGAGTTAGAAACTCAAAGCTTTTGAATGTCACATTTACTTTCATGGGAAATTAAAGAAAGAAGTTGTATTTTTCCCTTCTTTGTCAGAATTGAATGATGTTTGAAGGCACAATAGCCCCTTAGGAAGGGGTTACACCCACCAAATGTGAGAACATAAGTGCAGGGGTTTTTCTGCTACATGTCACTCTCTCTTCTTTTTTTAGTCTCTTTTTAAAGGGAATTGCAGATAATGTTATTTCTGGGCAGAACTAGTTGAAAAATTCTATCTAATTGCTCCTTTTGAGGAGATCAAGCCCACCAAAATTCAGAATGATAGTTGTTGGGGGACTTGATCCCTTCAAAAGAAGCAATTGGATTGAAATGTCCAACCAATGAGAGTTGTTTTGTGCAAGAGTATGCTTGACATTTTGAGGGCATCCAAAATAGGGTCTGCTTATCCCACTATTTTTCTTAAGGAATATTCTAAAAATAATAGAGAACTCTAACCTTAATCCTAAATCCAGAAGGATAGTTCAGCAATATATATGGGAGATGTCCTCAATTTTGGAGTGATTAATTAACCTTCTCCTCCTCCCCTTTGCCTGATTTTGGGGAACAATTTGTATGAAAATGGTACATATCCTAGAGCTGTCCCAAAGCAAGAAACCTGAAAAATTGCAGAAAAATAGGTGTGGGGTGTTAAGTTTGAAAACGAGTTAAACGTTTTCATAGTGACTGTTAGAGTTGCAAAAATAGGCCTCCTCAAAGTGCAAATGTTGGAAAGACCTGCCCCAGGATTATGCTCTCTCCCTCCACTCATAATCACTGTTTTAAAAAAATAAAGCCTGACTCTCCAGACACAAATCAGTAACAAGACCTTATTTGCATTCTGGGTTTGCAACTGATTGCTTTGGAGGGAAGCCTACTTTGGGTGAACCTGAAGCACATCTCAAGTGCTACACCTTCTTTGGTTCATTAATATGCCTTTCTCTATGGGGTCTTACATTAAGTTTACAAATAGTAACATCTGAATGCTGATGGTGAACAGTACTGTCCATTGGTGGCCAGAAAGCAACCTTGGTTCCCTTCTCCCTACCCCCGCCGCAGCCCGCCCCCAATCATAAGCCTTAAATGCCTAAGAGAAGCATGTGTGGCTCCTGCAGGCAAACCTTGGATGACCAATAGACATCTGAACCAGGCCATAAAAGAATGAAGTGAAGTTGGCCCCCAGGACATTCCATATGACATTGCTCTCTGATGTGTAAATCCTTCTACAAATAAATGATTCTAATGCTTTGGTGATTTTGTTTTGAAAAAGCTATAATTCTCAGTATGCTATCCGTGGTACCTTTTTTTGGACTGACATTGTTATGCAGCAAGGCAAAGCCATACAGCTGCCTTTGGGTGGGGGTTTTGTTGCATGCTTGAAGCTCTCCAGAGATTTTAGATAGCCTGTTTTGGAGAAAATGCTGCAGGATTTTATAGGTGATGGAGACAAATAAACAGAACTCTGTGATGATGAAGCTGGTGCTTTGAAGCTAGTTTGCAATGTCAGGTCTTCCGAAGATAAATAAAATTATGTTTTAGTAAACAAGTATTTATGTAAAATAGGGACTGCAGGTGGTGCAGTGGTTTAAACTGCAGTGCTGCTGGGCTGGTTGATCGAAAGGTCGCCAGTTCGAATCTGAACAATGGAGTGAGTTCCCGTTGCTCCGTCCCAGCTCCTGCCAACCTTGCAGTTCAAAGCATGCAAATGCAAGTAGATAAAAAGGTATCACTTCAGTGGGCAGGTAACAGCGTTTCGTGCACCTTGGTGTTTAGTCATGCCGGCCACATGACCACGGAGACTGTCTGTGGACAAACGCTGGCTCCCTCGGCTAGGAAACAGAGATGAGCACTGCCCCCTAGAGTCAGGCATGACTGGACGTAATGTCAAGGGGAAACCTTTACCTTTATTTATGTAAAATAGCTCTTAGCCTCCCTGTCACACTCTAGAGCAGGAGTCCTCAAAATTTTTAAATAGGGGGCCAGTTCACTGTTCCTTAGACTGTTGGGGGTGGGGTGGACTATAGTTTGAAAAAATACAAACGAATTCCTATGCACACTGCACATTAAAAAAATAATTACAATTTTAAAAATAATTTAAAAATGTTTGTTCCACTCCCTCAGGCTGCAGCAGAAGCCCAAGATGAGGTGGGAAAGCGCATGTCCATATTCAAGAGACATAGCTGCAACATAATGCAGCTGATGACTGCAACTGGCATTTACAAAGAATGAAGCAAAAATACTAAGGATGAATACTGTTAATGCCACTCTTAGTATTTGAAGCAAGTCATCCCAGAACAATTCCCACAATACACAATGGCTGTATTTGGATGCAGAGCTAATGACTAATATATTTTAAGTGCAACCTTGCCAAAACTGGTACTGTCCAGATGTGTTGGACTACAACTTCCATTGGCCATGCTGGTTGGGCAGAATGGAAATTATAGTCCTTGCTGCTGCCCTGCTTCCGAGAGAGTGGGAGGCTGGAGAGGCAAGCGGGGGGTGGCTCCCTCGGCTGGGAGAGGGCCACGAGGAGGGAGGTAAGGGCTGCTTTCTGAGGCGAGGGGAGGCGAGGGATGTGGCCATGGTTGGCTGAGTGGGGCGTCTCCCGCTTCTTCCCACTGTGGGGGGAAACATGGCAGCCTTTTGAAAGTGGAGGCTTGCTCAGAGAAGGCTGCGGCGGAGGTGTGGGACCCATGGCCCCGCTCCGCCTCAGCCTGTCCACCCCCAGGCTTGGTGAGACAGCCACAGCTTGGTCCACAGCCCAGGGAAGTGGCTCACATCATTAAAAATAGATTTTTAAACTTATATTTTTCTTACCCTCTATCCTTTTTAGTATCTTTGTGTGTCTCTCTCTCGTCTGCCCTCCTCTCTTCTGTATTCCTGCTCTGTATTCAGAGCCAATGTATGCATGCAATAGGGAGGGAAGAGCCAGCGCATGCACAGTTGAAAGGAGCTGTTACAATTTGGCCCGTGCGTCAGCTCTCTGCTCAGTTTGAGAGAACGCCTGTGCTGGCTCAGAGCTTTTGGACTTGCTCGTTTTCTCCAAACAAGTCCAAAAGCTCTGAGGCGGGCTGGGTAAATGACCATGGCGGGCCGTATCCGGCCTGCTGGCCGTAGTTTGAGGACCCGTGCTCTAGAGGGTCAAAGAAATGAAACCCAGGCCAGGACTTTGTAGCTTGATTGCCAGCAGTCACTATGGAGTGCTGTGTGCTAAAGTGGATGCCCTAAAATTGGGAATCTAGGAGCTGTGATGAGGATTCCAGCTTCTCCTTGCCCATTGCCCTCACCAGGGGTAATGGCCTCAATGACAGGCGAGAGGATAATGAAGAGAAGAAGGGAATTAGGACAGGGAAATGATTGAAATCCCTTCTTGCTCCTAAGGGCAGTGAAAATGATCAGGGGACTAGATTGTTCAGCTTAGAAAAAAGGTCTGTAAGGGGAAACTTGACAGAGGTGTACAAAATTGTGTACGCTGTGAAGAAAGTGATTAGAGACATTTCTCTTAGAATAGTAGAACTTGCCATCCCAAGAAGCTAATTGGTGGGAGATCCAGGAAAGAAGTATTTCTTCAGACAGTCAAAAATCATACTATCCAATTCGCTACCACAGGATGTAGTAATAAGCACAATTTTGGTGATGTTCAAGTGAACATGACAGATTCATGGAGGATAAAGTTACTGGTGGCTACTAGCCCTGATGTTTATATGCAGCCTCCCATATTTGAGACAATGTGCTTAAGTACACCAGTTGCTTGGGTACCAAACGTGGGCTGAAGGGTACTCTTTCACTCAACCTCTGCTTGTGGTTTTTCCCCAGCCAGTTGGTTGGCCACTGTGTGAACAAAATGCTGGATTAGATGGACCCTTGTACTGATCCAGTATGGCTTTTCTTTGCATTCTTAAAGCTGGAGGGAATAGAAATTGCTGCTGACAGATGTAATACATGCATAGCAGACTCCCATGCTGTCTGGGAAGCAGAAAATGTGATGTTTTTACAATGCCTCCTGAAAACATACTTGGTCACCCAGGCTTTTTCTGATGTGTAATTAACTGCAATTAATTACATGCTGTTCCATCTCATGAAATTTTTCATTGCTTTTTGTTGTTGTGGCTGAATTTGAAAGACACACATATATATGGATATGGATTACCAAGAAATCAATATAGGTGCTTTTTTGCTATTGTAAGATGCACGAGAGCTGGTATAGTACAGTGGTCCCTCAAAATTCACAGGGGTTGCATTCCTAGAGCACCCACAGATTGTGAAAAACCGCGAATTTGGTGCCGGCGCGGGCCAGGCTGGGCTGGGGGGCGGGTGCGTGCATGTGGCGAGGCAGGGGCAGGGGCAGGCATGTGCAGAGATTGTTTTTTCCGAGCGAGTCCAAACCGATCTCCTTGTGAGCAAGGCTTGCTCTCAAGGAGATCGGTTTGGACTCACTCGGAGAAAACGATCTTCTTGCGAGCAAGCCTCTGCATGGAAAATTCCGCAAAAGACTGAGGCCACGAACGCTGAACCACGACTTCACGGGGGTATACTGTATAGTCAAACCTAAAACAAGTAGAACAAAAACTGAAGTTGCAATCCTATGGAAGTTTAGACAGAAAAAAGAACCTGTTAACTCCTAGTGGTTGTCTGGTACATGCTGAGAGTTATAGGCCTTTTTTATGTTTAAGCTTGCATAGTATTGTACCTTAAGACAGTAATCCTATACTAGAGGTAGATTTAAATGCTATCTGACTGTAGTTCTCTATCATGGAATTCTTTAGATAGTTCTTGTTTCAGTTGCCTTCACATACTTATCCTAATTACCTTAACATTCACATTATCTTTCTCCCTTTTTTTCTTTCCATCACAGCAGGAAAGGATTTCATACACCCCTCCAGTGAGCCCAGTACCAAATTACACTTCCTCTTCGCCACTACATGTCCCAGTGCCTCGACCAATCAGGATGGAGGAAGATGCTATCAGACTCCCAGCCCATCTGCGTGAGTGTTCAGATAATGGCATTCTGAGAAGACTGATGTTGGGAGAAAAAATGGGATGGATCCTACTATAGAATCACCATCTTGCCTTTTGTTGCTTTCTGTTTTAAAAAGAGCTACAAATAGAAATGTGTTCCCTCTTTGCTGTATTTGGGGGGGGGGGGGTCATGTGAACAAATTTTTGTAAACGTGTGGAATTATAGGCATCCAAGAGAAGCTGCTCCTCACTGGCAGAGGCACACTTTGTATTTTGTATCTCCAGTAGGTTGGTCCCACTGGCTGGTCAGGAAATGTTTCCTGAACTGGTCACATGGTGCTTTCTCTGTTGATTTCTTTACCATCTTCACTGATGCTCTGAGCTTTGAAGATTATTTTGCATGGGCACAGCATACATTTGCTGTGAACAACCTCAGCTTTTCATTGTCCCTATTTTATCTGTGGGATGTCTAAATGGTTAATTTATGATTAATAGTTAATATAACTTCTTGGCAATGATATTACTCAAGCACCTCCCCATGGTATTTAGAAGTTGAATTTTTGAAAGTGTGGCAAAACTGAAGCTGAGACTGTATTTTAATTCTGGCATAAGCATTTAATTTATATCCATGAACACTAGCGCACTGTACAATGCACAGCCTGCTGCTTCTTAGGGTGCAATTGGTAAGGTTCATATTGAACTGATGACAGTGTACTCTAAGAAATTGTTATATTTCTTCAGGTTCTTTGTCATAGCCTCTGTGCATCACACATATGGGTGCTGCGCCTGAGCAGTGCCTAAGGCCAGAAGATTAGAAAGCTAACGGTTTTTGGTGGGAAAACTCCGCTCCCCTCCCCCTCAGTAGTATATATAGGGCGGAGTGTCCACCATTTTCCCCAGTCTTTTGCGACCACCGTTCGCTGTGCCTCGTGCCTGTTTGACTCTCACTTTGACTACCATATTTGCCTTTACTCTTATCATTCTTATTGTTCTTCATTGTTATTACTCCAAGTTAAATTTCCCTTGTTATATCTTTCTCTCTTTTTTCCTCTTCTTTGCTAAAAAAAAAACCAAAAAAACCCCCAAAAATATCTTATCCCTCTTTACTATCTTCTATTTCTTCTTCTTTTCTCTCGATGGTGCAGTGAGCGGCTTTCCGCAAATGTGCGGAATGTGGGTCCAAGATGTCCCCGGCGGACCCGCATGACTTGTGCCTCCTCTGCCTCGGCGAGGGGCACAGAACAGACAAATGCCGCCATTGTCTGGAGTTTACCAAGCAGGCTCGTAAAAACAGGGAGAACCGCCTGCGTAAACTACTTTGGGACCAGGCATTCATGTAGTCGGACAGCTTGCTGCAAAGTCTGGGCCTACTCTGACTGCGCCCACCAAGTGCCCGGCTTCTGCCTCAGCTGCCTCTGGCCAACGCCCGGCTTCTGCTTTGGCCATGCCTGGCCAACGCCCTGTGGCCACGCTACCCATGCCTCAGCCACGCCCATCGGATGGTGGGACATCAGCATCTGGAGCCCAACGACCTCTTTCTCCCCCACGCAAACAGTGGGAGAAAAGGAAGCATGGCGAGTCGGATCAGTCTTCTTCTCACAAGAAGGCGAAAAAGGATAAAGCGGCTAAGCCGGCTCATAAGCCAAAAAAACATCGGGACTTGGGTTCGTCAGCCCATCGATCCCGACGACTGCATCGATACTAACACCATCGGTACCGATGCTACAAGCAGCAATGCAGGTCACCCCGCCGGGATCTCCAGGACAACCTGTTCCTCAACAGGGCCAGTCCCCTGAGTGATGACCCGAGGAGCTGCTACGCAAGTCTATCTCTGATGGAGAAATCCAGGATTCTCCCCCCATGGCTCTCTTGCCAACGCCAGTGCCTCCGGCTAGGCCTAGGGCTCAGTCCTCCACTGATTGAGAGATCCTTGCATACTCTTGAAGTCCGTCAGTGCTTGGCTTTTTACAGATCGCGCACAGAATCCCTTCGGCTCTCCAATAGACTTTTTGTTAAATACTCTGAGCATGACCAGGGGTCTCCTCTCTCATCGCAAAGACTGTCAAAATGAATAATTCAAACCATTGTATTGGCGTATCAACTTGCCAAGATAGACTTACCTGTCGTTCCGAGAGGTCACTCCTCAAGAGCAGTAGCAGCTTCTTCTGCCTTTGCCACGGGAATCCTAATTCAAGACGTTTGCAAAGCTGCGACTTGGGCTGCTCCGTGTACTTTCGCTAGGCATTACCGCCTTGATGTGCGTGCCAGACAGGACTGTTCCTTCGGTAGGGCTGTCCTCTCCACTGTTCTTCAATGACAACACCGCCCTTCTCTGAGTCTGGTAAGCTTGCTACTCAGCCATATGTGTGATGCACAGAGGCCACGACTAAGAAAAGCAGGTTGCTTACCTGTAACTGATGTTCTTCGAGTGGCCATCTGTGCATTCACACAACCCACCCACCAGCCCTGCTCGGTGTTGGTGTGTGGATTTCTTCATCGGTACCATACTTTAATATTCATGGTACCTATCACACTTGTTGTGATGTATTTCTCTACCACAGGGGGGCGAACGATCAGTCTCCCAAAGACTGGGGAAAATGGCAGACACTCCGCCCTATATATACTACTGAGGGGGAGGGGAGCGGAGTTTTCCTGCCAAAAACCATTAGCTTTCTAATCTTCCAGCCTTGGGCACTGCGCAGGCGCAGCACCCATATGTGTGATGCACAGATGGCCTCTTGAAGAACATCAGTTACAGGTGAGCAACCTGCTTTTTTTAAACCAAATAGAACAAATACTATTACATGTGTTAAAATCACTGTAGGCCAAACTATTGCACAATAAAAGAAACAGCCTACAGGAAGTAACTGGAGACTTTATCACTGTCTAGGCAGTGTTTCTTAATGTGAGAACAGAGAAGTTACAAGTGTCATCTGTGGAATGTTGCAGGGATGGAAGAGTTCACCGAAAGTTGGCCTGTAATTAACTTCATTAATGTGCCTCTTTAGTACATTGTTTTTAATTTGCTGGGCTATTTGATTTCTAGATGTCCCTCCAATCCCCTCTTTATTTTCCATGAATATTTATATTCCATGCTTCTCTTAACTTTATTTTAACCTAGTCTTATTATCTTTAATGATGCCCTGAAACTAGTCTTCCACCCCTCCCCCGCATCAGTCGAAGGAGGAAAAGCTGCCAAAATTTCAGTTTTGTTGTGCTATTCTACAAGATGGCTTTACCGTATATCATTAAGTGCTTTCTCGTGTGATGCATGTAATACCCTGGGGCAAAAGCTGCTTGGAAATGGTCAGAAAGTATATGAGGGCACTTTGTAGTGTTTGCCAGAAACAGGTAAGCAAAAACATGCTGTTAGAAGCACAGAACCTAGTGCCAAATCTCAGGCGGGTGTGCTTGAATCATTGCTTTCTGAGGCAGGAGAAAGGATGGGGCAGAATCCTGCTCTGCCGTCTGTTCCCAGGCCCTTAAGTAGTAAATGTGGCAACTCATAATTGAAGTTTGTTCTTTACTTTGTGTTTGCTGTAATGACATGATAAAATAATTTACTACAAAGTAGTATTACTTAACCACACTATTATATGTTGTATGTTTATTTTCCTGACACAGCTGATGATATGATCCAATCTTTTGTAGAGAAGCACATCTACAGACTGTTCAAAGTTAGAGTAAGGGAGGACTGCAGGTTTCAGGCTGGAGAATATCAGCTGGGAGCCCAGGAGAATCTGTAGCTAGCCTGTCAGTGGAAGAATTGCCTAGAATGGTGGGGGGAATCATTTTGGCCAGGCCAGATTTGAGCCTTCCAGCAAAAAAAAAGGGGGGGGAGGGCAAGTTACCCGCCTGTGATTTAAAGCTTTTCTAAATCAAACATTTTAAGAAGATTCAATTTTTGTTCCTGTTGACAAAAGTCCCACGACTCAATCAGGATTACTCCCAGGTAAGTGTGTGTAGGCCTGGAACTAAAATTGGCTTTCCTGATTAATATAACTAATTAGGACTCTGTGCTGCAGCTTGTACCAACCTGTGCATAACCACTTATTTATTGTGAGCAACAAGTGCTTTCAGATTGACCAGACAGATAATTTATAATGACTTCCAAAAGGGTTTGTTCTTCATTCTTCCAGAATATTGAAGCAGCAAAAATGTCTAGTTTGTCAATTTTGTACACCTTTGCAAGGCTTGAACGAGTATTCCTATTTTGTTTTGTTTCTATGACAGTTCTGCATTATTCCCCATGAAGGTAATTATTTTATAGGCCCTGAATATGCTTTTTAGTGTTATTTACTAATTCTGCAAGGTTTTGGAGAAGATGAGGAGGTAGATGGGAGGTACTCACAATGGTGTGTTGCTGTTTCCTCTCTCCCCCAGATGGAACCAGCCCCGACTTCCTTGTTTTGATGCAGTCCAATTTTTGTGGGTCAGAAAGATGGCATTAGTTGTCTCACTGCAGCCTTTTGGTGACAAGTTACAGTGCTCTATAACAATGGCTGTGCAATAAGGCAGGCAGGCTTGGCTAATCAGGTTACTTGTTCATCAGTTTGATGTACCTGGAGCAGTAGAAGCAAACAGTGGACAATTCCTGTCTAGTGCCTCTGCTGACAGGAACAAGCCAGTACTTTTAACTATGAGTAGCAGCAATGAGTATTTAAGCATAGTAACGTTGCTTAATTTGTTTACAAAGTTGTAGTAAAGGATACAAGGATACTCTTGTATCATTTTCTACAGTTCTGTAAATGAATCACCCAGAGTTACTAGTTCACAATCAGCCTGTCTGCAAGCCCATTACTTAGGTTCTTCGTCGTGGCCTCTGTGCATCACACATATGGGTACTGCGCCTGCGCAGTGCCTGTGGCCGGAAGACTGACAGCTAACGGTTTTTGGCGGGAAGCTCTGCTCCCCCTCCCCCCTGTGGCCTGTAAAGAGCGGAGCGTCCGCCCTTTTGTTCAGTCTTTGTGACCGCCGTTTGCTGTGCCTCATGCCGCTTTCGACTTTCGCTTCAACTGTTACCTTG